AAAGAAACACAATCTTGTACAGAACTGGGCTATGTTAGATCTCTCCCTTCTTCCTGACACCCTTCTTTACTTGGCTTCCGAGATACCGCCCATCTTGCCTGGTTTTTTAAACTTTTTGGCCTTCTTCCTCCATCTGGTTTGCTGCTTCTAGTTTCCTCAAATGCTTAATATCAGGGGAAACTATTTTCCATCTACACTGCCTCCTTTTGTGATCTCATCTAGTCTCATGGCTTTAAACATCATCTATGTGCTGATGACTGATAAACCCAGCCTAATTCCATCTTAAGACTGGGAGCCATCTAGTCACAAAGTCATGAAAAGTTCATTTCTGTTTTACTATAAAATACTGAGATTTCTAAACTTGTTTAGAACTCTTGCCCATGTTCTGAACTCACCCATTCCTGGCTTTTCTTGACAACCCTCCCTAAAACCTTAGTGGCACCTCATAAATCCTGGTTCTCCATGATCAGACAACAACCCTCTCTGAAACCTCAGTGGTGCCTTATAAATTCTGATGTTGGGATCTGAATTTACTCCCTACCTTAAAATATCAAGCCATGTAGATCATTAATCTACTAATTGCCATTGTATTATGTCTGCCAGAAACCTGTTAGCTGTAAGTTCCTAAGAACACCCCCCTTGGTAACTTTTTGTGCTATAAAAACCTTTTCTTCCCCGAGAGCTGGGCTGTTCTTTGGTCTAGGTTTTGGGTGAGACAGCCACTGGCCAGCTATCCTTGTGTACAAAATATAAGCTTGCTTTAATTTGGTTTAAAATTGGATTGGTGGTCTTTTCTTTGCATCCTGGCTCAACAATGACTCCCAAATTAATATATCCAACCCAGATCTCTCTTTTTTTAACATTTGTTTTTTTAGTTGTAGTTGGACACAATACCTTTTTTCCACTCATTTAGTTTTTTAGGTGGTGCTGAATATCAAACCCAAGGGCCCCTGCACATGCTAGACAAGCGCTCTACCTCTGAGCCACAATCCCAGCCCCCCAGATCTCTCTTTTGATGTGCATACCCATATACCTTCATGTACCCTCTACATTTATAATGGCCATCTCAAACTCAATACATCCTATTTTAGTCAGCTTTTTTGCTGCTGTGGCTAAAAGACCCAACCAGAACATTGTAGAGGAGGAAAAGTTTATTTTGGGGCTCACAATTTCAGAGGCCTCAGTCCATAGGTGGCTGGCTCCATTTCTTGGGGCTATGAGGTGAGGCTGAACATCATGGCAGATGAATGTGGTGTAGGGAAGCAGCTCAAATGATGATCAGAAAGCAGAAATTCTACTTGCCAGATACCAAATATATACCCTAAAGGCATGCACCCAGGGACTCAGTTCCTACAGCCACACCCTACTGGCCTTCAGTTACCACTCAGCTAATGAATGAATTCACCAATTGGGTTAAGACTCTTATAATCCAATCATTTCTCCTCTAAATTGTCTTGTATTGTTCTCACATATGAGCTTTTGGAGGACACCTAATATCTAAACCATAACACACCCCAAAATTGAGCTTCAGATAATGCTCCCACACAGAAAAAAAAGCACCTCCTTAAGCTTTCCCATCTCAAAAAATAGTAATACCAATAATTTAGTTGTTCTGGCCAAAAATCTTGGTTCTGTTCTCCCTCTGATCCTCTGATCCTATCAGCAAATCTTGTGTCTACCTTCTCTTCTAAATAAACAAAAAACTCAGCCACTTCTCATCTACTTCTCCTGGGTTATTATAATGGGCTCCTAACTGGTCTCCCCACCCCTAACATTGTATCCTTGTCCCAAATCTATTGTTCATAGAACAAAATATCTCTATTAAAATGGAAATCAGATTGTATGGATTCTCTGCTAACAACCCTTTGCTGATTCCCCAACACAAAGTGAAAGTTCTTATTAGGACCTGCAAGGTCATAGCTATTCTGTTCCTGCTTTGCACTTGCTGCTCTCTCTGAAATACCCTTCCCCAAATATCAGAAGTCTATCTCTTCCTTCAGACCTTTACTCAATACCTTGCAGTGACATCCGTGGCTTGCCCATCTAACACACCTCCTCAACAATATTTTATTCTCACTTCTTTTCCCCCCTCAGTATTTACTACAATCTTAAAGCTATTTTATCTAGCTCCTTTATTGTTTATCTCTCTCATTAAAATGGAAGTTCATGATGAGGAACTCTTTGATCTATTTTGTTTACTATTGTATAGTCACTACTTAGAATATGTGATGGAATCTACATATTAACATTCAATAGGTATTTGTTGAATGAATGAAAAGGGTGGATGTTTCTAAGAAAGCAAATTTTATTCTATAATGAAAATCTGTTTTTAATTTTTTTTGAGGGGGGTTTACCAGGGATTGAACTCAGGGGCATTCAACCACTGAGTCTCATCCCCAGATCTATTTTGTATTTTATTAGACAGGGTATCACTGAGGTGGTTGGTGCCTTGCCATTGCTGAGGCTGGCTTTGAACTCTCAATGCTTCTGCCTCTGGAGCCACTGGGATTACAGACAGGTGCCACTGCAATGGCTCCAACCCTTTTAAATATTTTATTTAGAGACAGGATCTCTCTGAGTTATTTAGGATCTCATTAAGTTGCTGAGGCTGGCTTTGAACTCACGATCCTCCTGCCTCAGCCTCCTGAGCCTCTAGGATTACAGGGGTGGGCTACTATGCCTGGCCAACCCTTTTTATTTTGAGACAGGTTCTCACTAAATTGCTCAGGATCTTGGTAAGTTGCTGAGGCTGGGTTTGTACTTGTGATCATCTTGCCTCCCAAGCCACTGGACTTATGGAATGGCTTGGCAACATAATCACTTTCATTAGGCACTGTACTCTCCTCTTGAACAGCTTTTTTTTTTTCCTTCTATTGTAGAAATTTATTTAGTATAAGTAAACAAAAAATGAGTACAATGTTTGTAAAGGACAAATCAATGGAAAGAGGTGTGCATTTTGGAAAACCAAAAGATTTCTTCTTAGACCTTAAGTTTCTGAGCACACAGAGGGTGCCTCAAGGAAAATGAGGAGATATTTAAGAGTTTGGTGTGGCTGTCTAAACCTGGCATCTTATTCATTTCATCCTGCTCCTTTTTAGCAGAAAGGAAAAAAAAAAGTGGTGGGAGGGGAGGAATAAATATTGAAGAAAATTACTAAATGAACTAAATGTCCATCATAGGTTTTAATTTGTTGAACAGCTGTTAATCTCATTCAAATCTCACAGCAGCCTAGGACAGGAGGAAGGCTGGGCAGATTATGATGCTGGTTAAAGAAGAAACTGAATGTAGACATAGGAAAAGGACTGGTCAAAGTTTACACAACTGGTTGGGACAGGAGTGGAACTGTGGATGATTGTTGGCCCTGAAAAGAGACTAGTAGGTGATGAAAGCAAATGAAAGAGGATTCAAAAAGAAAAAGAAAATGGAGGCCGACCTCAGAGGACCAGCGATGCTTTATTCAGCACTGGAGGGGCACATCTTTGGCGAGGTCGGGAGGGGGGGGGGGGGGGCGGCAGGAGAGCCTGGTCATGGGAGGAGTTTTGGCTAATTTAGGGCCAGACAGGAGGGCAGGTAGGGGAACAGTAAGGGAAATTCCCTCCCTGGGGCCTACTGTCCATATCATTCAGGTGATATAGTTTAATGGGAGCTGGGTTTAAAGGGTTTCTTCCACCAGAAGCTGTGAGGATGTCTGAAGGGAAGGCTGAGACAGATGCATCACCTAAGGAGGGGAAGAGGTGACCAGATTGACCTCTGAGATTTGGTCCAGACGCGAAAGGGTCAGCAGAATTCCCCAGCAGCAGAGTGCTGTGCCTGAAGCTAACCAATACCTCAACCATGTATGTAATCTCTAATATCATAACTGGACAGGCAATCTTAAAAGATTAGTGAATTCACTCAAGGTGCAGGGTCTGATATCCCCACTGGACTGTGAAGTCTTTGGGGGTAGTGACCATATTCACAGATTTATCCCCAGCTTCTAACAGAACCTGGAATACAGTGAAGACTCAAATAATTTTATTCAAGGCATACATTAAATAACGAATATGTTCAAATGGGAAACCAAGTCTGCGAGAAGACATATAGGAGAAGCGTAAGATCACCCAGCGACTCTGGGCTAGAAGCAGATTTTCCGGGACACACCAGGACTAAGACCTTACACCAAAGCAGGTTGACGGTAACCATTTTGGGTTAGCGCGCAAATACGGCCCGGCCACGAAGGGGCGGGGATAAATGGGTTCCTGCTGGCCGGGTCACGGTGGAAAGCTGATTGGGTGGAACGCAAGGCGCCGCAAATTTCCTTCTTCACCTTGTACCGGCTAATATACAAACGTCACTTCCGGTGTGGTGGGCGGGAGCGGGAAACAAAAGGACACGAAGGACGCATGCGTTTGGTGGGTCCCCGGATTTTGGTGGGTTCTTCCGCTCAGGCTAGGGGAAGCGCTTCCGGGTCGCCGCCGGCTGCCGCCTCCGGCGGGGTAAGTACAAAAGCGGGGCTGCAGCCGTCTTCTTGCTCCTTCTTTCCTCTTTCCCCCAGGGGAACCCAGCCCTTTGACTTGCCTCCCCAGGAGCTCCATGTTCAGATTCCTTTAACCGTAAATAGCTTCTGCTCATTGGCCGCTTCCTCAAGACTAAGCCCCACCCCTTCACACAAGACCCGTCATTCATTGGTGTCACTTCCTGTCACCCAGCATTTCTTTCAGTTAATTGGCTCTACCCAGACCCCGCTCCTTTCACGATTAGCGACCCTATAAGGGCAAACTCCTGTCCGAGTCCCGCCTCTGCCTTCTTCCTGTTGGTCAACCGCACGGTCATTATCGTAATGAGCAAAGACTGGGCGGTGGCCTGTTAGGTTTTCGGAGGCAAGATCTCTGTCCTTGGGTTAGTTCTAAGGTGTCACGAGTGGACGCGCTTGGCGTTGGTCGAGAGAACGCCAGCAGCTGGTCTTGGGTCGGTCAATAAGTTAGGGCAAAAGCTAGAAAACGAGACAGCTCTTTTTTTTTTTTTTATCTCACCTCTTTCAGTGCCTGGCCTGGATTCCTTCCCTGCACTAGTTTTTTAAGTCCCAACTCACCTTGTGACCTGAATCCAGTATCTTCCTGTCGCTGGGTCTCAGTTTTCCTGTCTGTGAGCTAAGAAGTTTTAAATCAGAACCTTTGGGATTTATCTGGTCAGCTGAGTTCACAAAGTTGGATTTGTTCTCTTAAATATTAGTTCATCCATTCAGTCTTCCATCTGCTTACTCATTTATTCATGCCTTTTAGAATGCTTACTGAACCCTGATAGCACGTGGTGCAAGCCCCCAGTTTGACGGGTCCATCAAAGAAGTGGTTAGTGTCCCAAATGTTTTGAACTGGTTGGGTGTGGTATGGACCATCATAAAGGGGCAAAAAGTAAATTTTAGGGCTTGGATGGGGTAGACATAAATTTCATTAGAGCCCTGCTTTCCCTAATTTTGTAATACCAGTTTAAAATCTGGATTCTATCTCTACACCTGGCTCCCATTCTCTTACCTCCTTGAATAACCAGCCTAGGATTTGATTTATCCATTATTTTATTTACCAGAATAACTGTGAGGGTGATATAATTGTTATTATCCCCATTTTGCAGATGAGGAAACAGGCCCAGAGAGGTTAAGTGACTTGGCAAAAGTCAAACACCTAGTGAGTGGTGGAGCCAGGACTCAAACCCAGGTCTGTCTGATTCCTAGAAGGAAGGCCTGCTTCCCTGCTACCTTCCACTCCACCCCATCCCTAAATCAAATTACAACCAAATAAAAACCAAACTAAAACAAAACACATTCACCTAACACTTTCCCTCAGTCTAGGAGCCATGTCCACCTTGTTCCCTTCACTCTTCCCCCGGGTGACTGAGACACTGTGGTTTAATCTGGATCGGCCCTGTGTGGAGGAGACAGAGCTGCAGCAGCAGGAACAGCAGCATCAGGCCTGGGTGAGTGAGGATCTAGCAAAGCATAGCACAGTCAGAAACATATCCCCTATCCCTCCCTCTGGCCAGGACCCAGCCTTACTGTAGGACCTGCCCTGGAGAGTTTTTTTGTCCTTAGCTGGGAATAATCAGGCTGGGAATCAGGGGACCAACATTCTTATCTTTATGGTACCCTGATTTGCTGGGGACCCTGGAAATTCTGGGACAGATTAGAACTTAGGCTTCTGACACTCAGCCCAAGCTCTGTTCCTCAAATCACAGGAATTAGCAATTTTTAATCATTTATCAGAACCTAGCAGATGGCGTGTTTTAGGTTAATTATCTCACTTCACCTTCATCATAATTATATGAAGAAACCAAGGCCCAGGAGATTAAGTAGTTGAGTCAGATTTATACATGGCAGATAATGGGAGAAAAGGGATTGAATTTTCCTGAGAACCGGGAAGAAGCTTTTCCCCAACACTTGATGGTTTTCTTGAGGGCAGAGTGGGCCAGTCCCATGTCCCTGACCTGTCCTGCTTGGGCCCTAGCCTTGCTTTCCCCTCCCTGTTTTGCCTGCAGCTTCAAAGCATCGCAGAGAAAGACAACAACCTGGTACCTATTGGCAAGCCAGCCTCAGAGGTGAGTGGCTCCTGCAAGTGGGGCCTATGTGAGACCCAGGGTGGATCACAACTGTACTAATTCTGAATGTTCTGCTTCTGACTTGGTGCAATTGTGGTTCTCAGAGTGGGCCAATGCTAAAAAGGGGAGCTTAATGGGGTGGGCATTGGGCCTAACACCAAGGTCCTGTAGAACATCTATCAGCCTGCTAAACTCAAGGTGGGGGCAAGGTCAGGGAGAGGGAGGTTTCCAAGTTGGCCAGCTGTTATACTGGTCCAGGCAGCCCTGTAGGGCCTACAGGCTTTCCCCTACCCCACCAGCACTATGATGATGAGGAAGAGGAGGATGATGAAGACGATGAGGACAGTGAAGAGGACTCAGAGGATGATGAGGACATGCAGGACATGGACGAGATGAATGACTATAACGAGTCACCTGATGATGGAGAGGTCAATGAGGTAGGTGGGAGTGTAGGGGAGGGCCTCTGTTCGTGGGCCCCTTACCTAATTGATGGCCAACGGGTACAGAAACCCTGGATTCATCCAAGGGCCAGATCTGGGGCTGAGGCTGGCTGAGGCCCCTCCCCACCCACACCCAGCCTCCTCTCCAGGTGGACATGGAAGGCAACGAACAGGATCAGGACCAGTGGATGATCTAGGTAGACAAGGCAGGGTGGCCTCAGGGCGATTCCAGGCCAGCCTAACCTACCCTACATCCCTGCCCCAGTCCCTCATCCTGCAGAACCAGCTGATGGCCCCAATGCCTAAAAGCTCACCCTTGGGCACTTCCTCAGCTGCTGCAAGAACCTGGTCTCCTTGACCCCTCCTAGGCCATCAGTTGGCCCTTGAATTCCCAGAGCCTGAGCCTACCCCACCTGCCTGGTCAGTACCTCACCCCTTGGTTGCCAGGTCTGGTTTCTTTCTAACTCTCTTTAATAAAGACACAGGAATGACTTTTCCCCCATGTCTATTCCCTATTTGTTGGTGGGGCCCAGAGGAGTGCATATCTTTTCCTAGGCTTTGGGGAGGGGACATTCAAGGGATATAAAGCAAACCTAATTGGCCAAGTGGGCCAGGTTTGGGAAGCCTGCGCCTAAGCTCCTGTGTCATTTCTCCTGGCCCAACTTGGCACCAAGCCGATCCTTCAGGCCTCTCATTATCTGCTTTTTCCTCTGATTCCACGCAGAATGGTATGGGCTAGGGAGGAGAGGCTTTCTGAAGCCCAGATCTGAGAAGCCCTCATGCTCTCCTAGCCAGCAACTTTAATGTTAAGAGAGTGGATTAAATCTCTGAGCAGGGCAAGACTCCCCTGGAGTCACCCAGCAAACCAGTGACAGAGCTGGGTTGGGGGCTCAGGCCCATGGACTGTTGTCTATCCATGGATCTCTCCAGAAGGAGGGGGACCAATGGAACCAAGCAGCCTGATAGAATATGACACTTTGGGTCAGTGTGCAGGCTGGAAGGGTAAAGTTAGGGAGAAACGCCCCCCAGCTCTGAGCCCAGCACATGTCAGGCTCCGAACAGGGAGGAAATAAATGTTCTGAGGTCCTTGCTTGGGCAGGGGTAGGGAGTGTTGGTAAATATCCCTGGTCCTGGACCTCAGCCAGGTCCAGCATAGGTAAGCTGGGCTATGCCATCCTTGATAGCTGGGAAGTCTGGGAGGCCAGTGTGGTGGAGCCGACAGCGGTAGTGGCCACAGCTCTTGGCATACTGTAGGAAGCGAGGCGCACCAGGGAAGAGCACATGGTCAGCCAAGACAGTTGCAGCAGCTGGCAGCAGAGCATAGGCCTCTAGCAGCTGTAGGTCCCGCAAGTAATACCGGGGCCGATGTGCCAGGAGTACAAGGTCTGCCTGACTCAGCTGGTGCTGGGCTCGTAGGCGTGGGATCACCTCCTCTGAGCTGCCAACAATGAGCTCCACCTGTTGGGTAGGAGGTACTGGAGGTAAGGATTGGCCAGATTGCTTTCCCACTCTGGACCCAACCAGGATCTGGCTTACTTCATGTTAGGCATTTCTAGGTGCTTAGAACCCAAGAAATCAGGATTAGTATTGTCATTTCCATTCTGCCCATAAAGAAACTAAGATTCAGAGGATATGTTCTTTGCCCAAGGACTCACAGCTAACTAGAGGAAGGCTAAGATTTGGATTCATATTTGCTGGGCTCTGGAGACCTTCCTCTTAGCTGCTACTTTTGTCATGCAGAAGAAAATATTTGCAAGTGACTTGGGACAAGATGATAGGAGCTCACACATCCTCCAGGATCCCAGCTGCCTAAGTGAAGCTGCTTCCTTCTTCCTAAATGGGAATTCCTCAAAAGGGAGGCCTGGCTAGGGCAAGGCCTGGGGTAGCAGAGAAAAGATCAGGGTCAGGGGCATGGGGAGGCTGACCGTGTGCTCATCGAAGCCAGCCAGGCGAATGAGTTTTTCAGCTACTGCTGCTGTTCGTGGGTCCCGCTCCACCGTGACAAGGCGACCCCCAGGGGGCAGGGCACAGGCAATAAGCAAGGTGGAATATCCACAGTAGGTGCCTAGCTCCAGCACACAAGCAGGAGCCTTCTCCTCCACCAGCCGCACCAGGATCTGACCTACAGGGTGAGAGGGCTGTTGTAGAAGACATGGGAGATGGATGCAGGGCTCCTCATGAAAAGATATCTTCAATGCCCACCTGCCTCATTGCAGCTTCAACCACCTAAGATCCTACTTCTCTTGGATCATAACTACAGCTGCACTGCTCCCCGCTAGTCTAGTCTTCACTAGACTAGAAATCTATATAACATATCTGATCTTATCAATCCCTGCTCCTATGATTCTAAAAGCCTTTAGGATTGGACTTGAGAACCTCACCCTGGTGTTTAGGAACTTCTCATACCTGATCCTATCCTACCTTTCCAGCTACAGTTCTCAGCTCTTCTACCTATAACCTATATAACAGCCATCTGAAACAACTGCCCAGAATCAACCATGCTGTCTCATTCCTTCATGCTGCATTTGCATTTGTGGTTGGCTTTGCCTTTCTACACCTTCCCCTATCCACCTGTTAAACCTGAAACAAATCCTTCCAGACTCAGTTCAAATGTGGCTTCCTCCAGGAGAGCCCAGGCAAAAGCAACCATCCCTTCTTTGAGACTCCTGAGAAGCTTCCTGTTTCATCCCATTTTATTGTTCATTGGATATCTTTGTGATCTTGAATTTCTTAAGATTGTGAAAGCACTTGTGCTGGGAGTCGGGTCTGAGATAAATCCAGGTAGGCACTTTTCCTGATGTAGAATCAGATGTAGAAGCCTCTTTGGTAGGGAAGAAAGACTGGGACACAGATAATTAGAAAGCAATGAGTTACGTTATTCTTCCGTGTATTTTGCTCCCTTTGAGTCCAGCATTTGTGGCTGGTTCTATTGTGGCCTCTACCTCCTCTCCCAGCACCTAGCACATGCCTGGTACAAATAACATGGCAATAAATATTTGATGGATAAATGAATGACTTAATGCAGGTCTCTCATTCCCATATCAGAAAAAAGAGACCCAAAGAGGGTCACTAACCTGCCCAATTCACCAAGTAAGGCAGTGACAAATCCCAGATCTTAGGGGTACTTCCTGGAGCAGAAGGCTAGGTAACACTGACCTTTGACAGGCCCCATATGGCTCAGGTACTCGCAGTGGCTACTCCAGTGGTCCAGGGTGGTGAGGATGTGTCCAGGGTCTCCAGGTAGGGCATGGGTGAGCACATAGCTGAAGGCTCTCTCTTCAATCCGCATCCCTGACAGGCAGTCTTGGAAACTCCTCAGTAAGACTGTGCGCAGCAGCAGTCGGAAGTGGTGCCGATATCGCACCAGCAATGTTACCACCAGTGGCAGGAATGCCAGTGCAATGGCAGGGGACATGATCCCTACCTGGGCCTGAGATGGAGGGAGGCAGGGAGGGGAAACCCACACCACAATTTGTCATTCGTGGTCTTTGCCACTAGCAATTATTAGGCTCACATTTTACAAGCCATGGCTAAGGAAGATTAAGTCTTTTGCCCAGACTCACACAACAGAATTGGGATTTGAATCCAGGTTGGTATGATTCCAAAACACTGTACTTTAAAGGATGGCATACTGTCTATGTTCAGCACCCAACCCCATACCACCTCTTAATACTACTGACTTCTGGTCCCATCTCTACAACCCATTTCCCTTCATCCCTGAAGTCACCCCTTCTTCAGGACTTCTTTCTTCAGTTCCTCCTAGGATATCATACCCCCACCATATCCCACTATACAGTATGGTGGGGGTATGATATGGGTCTCTTCTGACCCATTACTGTGTTGCAAAAGAGCAAAGCTTTGTAGTCAAAAAACCCTTCACTGTCACTGTGGGCTGCTTCAGTAAAGGTAATCAAAACACTTCCTAAGGTGTTAGTGCGATGTCTTCCCACACCAGACTGTCCCTTTACTCTTCCCTGGGAATGGAAGGAGTCCTTGATTCTATATTTCATCTCCAGTCCTATCTTCCCTCTTATATTCCCCTTCCTCTGTGATCTCTCAGAATTCCCTTTATAAGTGCATACATACACATAAACACATCACACACACTCCCCTCCCCCAGCCCTCTTCTCCAAGTCCTTCTTCCATGTTCTGGACCACCCTCCCCTTCCAGATCTGACTTTGCAGGACTCCTTTCAAAGCTCCTGGTTGGAGGTGGGTAAAACACTATATGAATGGATGTGAATAGGTGAGTGATAGTGGACATGAACTGGGTGTGCTTGTGAACCCAGAAGGCCCGCTTACCTGGGCTAGAAGCTCCTGCTTAGGGAAGACCGGAGTACAGGACCAGAGGGGAAGTCCTTAGGGGAAGTAACCCTGAGACAAGAAGCTGGACCTGTTTTCAATAATTAATGCTGAAGCTGCTGTTGTTATCTGAGACCTGCAGTTCCAGTTACCAGACCCAGGGACAAGCTGGAGCTGCCTCCTGTCCGTCAGGAGCCTTCAAAAAACGTATAGAACTCCAGGGTCTTGATTTGAGGGTAACAAGTGCTACTAGGTTTGGTGACTTCTCCAACTTCTGTGATGACGACATGGACATGGTGTGAGCCAAGGTGATAGAATGGAATTTACTCAATTCAAAATTCAAGTTTTCTCTAAGCAAGTGTTAGGGCTTGGGTCACAGAGAAGAATTAGAACCTGTTTCTGTCCTTCAGGAACTCCAAGTTTGATAGAAGAAACTGATCTGGGAACAACAGAAGACAATATGCTGTGATCCTAGATTGGATGCTCCATTAGTACAAGGACTTTTGACTGTTTTTTTTTTTTTTAAAAACTGCTGCCTATCCAGATAAAACACTGTAAACATTTGTTGATTTAATAAGTGAGTGAAACCAGGTATAGTCTGTAATCCCAACCACTAGGGAGACTTGAGACAAGAGGATGTCAAATTCAGGGCCAGCCTGGGTGGCTCAGTGAGACCCTGTCACAAAATAAGGAGCTGAGAATGTAGTTCAGTGGTAAAGCACCCCTAGGTTCAATCCCCAATACTAAAAAGAAAATAGATGGTGGGGGGGACTAGAAGTATTTCCCCTGGGCATGGCATGGAGTGGGAAGCAGATGCCAGGCAATGAATCATCTGGAATGACAGACTTGGACCTCTTTCCAGGGCCCAACAGAAGGCAGGAGGCTTTTTTTTTTAAGCTGCTGGGGGTCACATCCTAGGCACCAAACGAAATCTCCAGCCTTGGGAGGGCTTTATTTATTAGCTGTGGATGGACACATTTTGTGGTGCTGAGCCTGGAACCCTGCCTCACACATGCTAGGCAAGAGCTCTACCACTGAGCTACAACTGCAGCCCCTTTGGGAAGGTTTTACAGAAAATCTAAGGCCACCTTTGTAAATTAGATTACTGTGGCTACTGTGAAAAGCTAGGATTGAAGAGAAACGCCTGAGGAGAAGGTCAACCATGTGGGTCTAGAGCCTCTACCGGGATGGTCTC